TGCTCAGTGATCCAATGGCCCTGGTCGATACTACGCACGTGAATGGCTTATATTCGTTCTCTCCTTAAGCGCGATCGGACAGACGAGGTCAATCACGATGAACAATCCAGATTCTCCCATGCAATCGACCTAAATAGGCAAAGATCAGACGGCTCTCCTCACTCCACGTCGACATGAATGGACAGTCCAGATCGACGCAAGATGGGTATAAATACCTCGCATCACAGGGGAACCCAAACCCTTGCCACCAGCTCTTACCGGAGAAGAAGAACCAGGCGCCAAATAAGAAGGTCGACCGCCAACCGCCGCTGACCGCCAAAAAAGGTAAAATTTTCCCTTAATCGATTGAAATTTGATTCCGAGTTTTCCTAAGGCCATATCAGAGCAATAGGGATGGTGGGTGAGCTTAAAACTGCGAACAAAGTGCGGCAGATCAAGGTGAACTGCCGCTATGGACGACAGAGCCGACATCGCTGTGTCGGAACTCCAAAATTGACCATAAAGAGTTTTGGACACCGATTTTGAATTTTGAAGGTATTTTTAGGTGCGTGACGAGTGTTTTGGATTCTGTAGTACAAATTCAGAAAACTCGATACCCGTTAGGAGGCGTAGTAAACAAAGTGATGTCTCAAAACATTGATTCGGGTAAAGATCTCTCACCCTATTCTCCGTTGCGGTAAATTGAGGCTTAATGATGTATAATTTTGTATTTTGGTAAAAATTTTAAAAATCCTAAAAATAATTACAGGTCACTAGTGGAGTCAGAACCGGTTAGTTCACAATTATTCTAATTTCTTATTTATTTTTTTGTATTGTCATACTTGCTTGTTATCATATTGTGCATGTTCTTAATTTATAGTTTCTATGGTCTTATCGATTTATCTAGTTTATTCGGTTATCTGGTTACTCGATCCCTTGTTATGATAAACTACATCATCTGTATAAATGTCGTCTAATTAATCTGTAATATAATATGATATATTGACATGTGTTTGTTGGTTGTTTTGTTGATGAGAATATTTATTTGTTTTTTTTTAATTACCGTTTGTCTTTTAGAATGGACATTCTTGTAGCTCTATTGAGCATTCTAAATTATTGTGTAAGGAATGTAAACTCTAACTCTATTATTCGCTTCCTTATTTAAATTATAAATTTATTTTCTTTAAGGTTCCAGGTCTTTATATTATAAGTCGATTACTATTAGCATATATTATAGATATAAACTGATAAATTTTAAATATTCATAAATTGTAACACCCCAAGCTCGGAATTTAGGCTCGGGATGACTAAATTTACATTAATAATAATTTTAGAAATTTTTAATTTTAATTTTTTTAGAATTTTTAAAGAAATATGCATTTTAGATGTATTTGAAAATAATTTTCAAAAATCAGAGACAAACTAGAAATAAGGAATGATCTATTTGAAATGAAAATTTAAAAACTGGGGTAAAAGTGTAAAAATAAAAAAATGGTCATGTAGGACAACCATATCAGCAGCACGACTAGTCGTCGTACGACATGTGGCAAACACGCAAATATGCATTCAACATGGGAGGCTACACAGATAATCCACGTGCCAACTAATCCAACAGTCCAGATTCACTCCTATGTGCACGAACAACCCAAATCCATTTCTCCTTCAAGTGCGATCGAACAGTCCACGTGCCTTCAATCGAAAGGCTCTAATTCGCTTCCCAAATAAGCTGGATCTGGTGGTGGAGATTGGACCACGCAGCCCTGAAAGAACGACTCAGATCGAAAGCGGAGAGGTATTTAAACCTCTCTACCCATACCCTCAAAACTTTAGCCGCCAAGGAGGACTAGAGAAGAAGAAAAAGGGCTGCCGAAAAGCGAACTAGTCACCAGAGAAGAAGACCAACCACCGTAGTCGTTGCACTATTGACCAAATCGATGCCAAAAGGTGGGTTCTTTCTTCTCGTTTTTATGTTTTTAGAATTTAAACCACCCCAAACCTTTATCGACACTGAAAAATCAATAGAGAAGTAAAAAATGGAGGGTAGAGCTTGGTCGCGCCGCCGCACCCAAAACTGAAAAACCCCTCTGATGAGCCGAATCCTCTTCCCGTTCCCTTCCGTTTTTCAACCATTAGTTATCTAGCATATTTCGATGCAGAACAACCGAAGGAGAACCACGATTGCATGGGAGGGACAGCAGCGCCGTCGCACCGAAAACCCTAAACCGCTGGTAAGTTTCGATTTTCCTCATTGTTCAACCAATAGAGGCCACCTAACCTCAAAGTTCACAGGTTTTCGCCCAGGGCCAGCCGAACCCAGCCTGACCGATATGAGGAACCACTGTAGGTGGCAAAGCCAACTCCATCATGCCGGAATCTGTTAAACTGGCCCCTTGGAGAATTTTGACATTTTTTGGCCTTTTTTTTTGCATATTTTCATTATATTTAATGTATGTTTTAGTTTTCATAGAAAAATCCAAGAAATTGGATATCCCTTGATTTCTGCCATTATGATTGGTTAAATAAATAATGAACAAACAATTTTAAATGTTTGAGATCTCTCGATTAATTTAAGTATAGGTCCTCGATGAAGCTAGTAACCGGTCAGTATATACTTGTCTCTATCTCATCTGTATTGCCTATTTGTTGTTCTTTTGCTTTAATTTCCTATTGTTACTTCATGCACTTTAATTTATTGATTTTAATTGCTTTTTTGTTTATTTAGTTTACTTAACTTTTTTCATCCTTACCCGTTAATTCAGTTTGAAACAAATATCTTAATTATGTTCTTTTGAATCATTAGGTCTTAATTTTTATCTCCTACTAAATGATCGTTCTATTTTTCTGTGATTATGAAATGAGATTGTTGTACGTATTTAGTGGCTAGATGGTAATGGGAACTTGTATGTGTATGCAACGTTATGAAAATTAAAGGGGCTTACCTGGTATCTTGAGAAATAGTAGACGAACCTGGTACATAGGGTAAACTCTACTATGGATATTACCCTTAGTCGAATGGGGTTGAGAAGTTCCATACTATAAGGAGTTGAGAATTATTTTGATTACACTCATATTGGACGGGGTATTGAGACGGTTGTATATTTGGTTGCCATTACCGGACGGGTTATGGAGACGACCAGTTGATTAAGAGAATGGATACTCGGTCACATGTAGTGAGAACCCCCTATGGATCCCCATCAGCATCGGTAAATAAGTAAAAATGTAAAGTTTGATTGCTGCTGGTCTGTTAGAATATATGATGTGTATTGTTATTCTAGTTATTTTCTTCATAAATGGTATATGGAAACTTAAAGGTGAGTAATTAATAGATGTTTTCAAGTGAAATGAATTTACTTAAATCAAAAAATAATCTTCATTAGTTATTTTACAATTTCTACAAACCTTTGATTTTTCCGTATTGGTAGTAAAATATTGATATTCTTACTGATTTAGTGTAATTCACCTCATTATCAAATTAAACATATAAATTATATTTCTATTATACTACACATATATTTAAATATTCACACATATACACATTTACATAAACATATAATTTATATTTTCGTACGAAATACACATAATTCTTACTTACAGTGTGATCAGAAAAGCTTTTAGAATCATTTCTAATTTGTTCTATGATCCTCTCAAAAATTCGAATACTGTTTGGATAATTTTTTTCGTTTATAATAAAAAAATATATATATTAAATTATGAATAATTTTAGAAACTATATTACATAAAATTAAGAAATAATTTTACTTTCAGACACGCGATCCTGATCGTCAATATTATCACGTATCATCACACGCATATCACCAAAAATATCAAGCACTGATGATTGAATCAGTGCGTGTTGTCGTATGCGGCGCACCTCATATTGGTCGCCAGACTTCCATTTTATTTTCCTTCATTTTTTTTCATTTTTCTTTTTTTCACCTTTTTTTCTTCTTTTTCTTCTTTTTCTTCCTTTTCTTTTCTTTTCTTTCATTTTTTTTCTGCTTTTTTTTTTCTTCTTCTTCCTCCTTTCCCGCAGCTCCTCTTCTTTTTTTTTTCTTTTTCTTCCTCCTTTCCTGCAACTCTTTTTTTTTTTCTTTCTTCTTTCTTTTTTCTTTTTTCTTCTTCTTTCTTTTTCCTTTCGTCTTCTTTCTTCTTTCTTCTTTCTTCTCTTTCTCTCTCTACCCACCGCGTGTCTTCTCTCTCTCTAATCGATGGCGATTCCTCTCCTCTTTCTTTCTCCTTCGATTGCTGCGTCGCGCAACACCATGCGACCCTTCTCTCTTTCTCGTCGATGCCGCTTGGCCCTCTCTCTTCTTTATCTATTTTTTTTTCTTCGTTTCTTTTCTTTTTCTGTTACTTAATTATATATATGTACACACATATATATATATATATATTATATGACGTGTTTTCTTCTTCTAGGTTCTTTTTTTTTTCTTTCTTTCTTTAATTTTTTTTTTGTTAGTTATATACATGTACATATATATATTTCATAGATTTTTTTTTACCTAAATGGGTATTATATAAATAAAAATAATATTTAAATAAAAACATATATTAAAGTATAGTCTGACTCAAATAATAGATTTTTCTTTTGTAATTTTATCAATTTGTGCATTATTAATTTTTTTGCTATTTTTTTAAATGGCAAAATTGGACAATAGATTATCCATTAAATTAGAGTTAAAAAAATATAAAAATAAGAATTTTAAATAATTGATTTTTACTAAAAATCTTTACTGTCATACTAAACTTCTTATCTTATGAAGTTAAAATAACTTAATATATTTAAACATAGTAAAACGTATAGAATAAAAAATTAATCATACTTAACCCAAAATTAAGCTTTTCCCAGTAAAACGATAATGTCTCTTGCGGCGCATTTATTGTTGCCTGAAAATTTTCTTTTTAAGTATTATTGTTATTATTATATTTTTTTTACCCCCTCCCCAACTCATTATAAAAATTGCCAGAAAACAGAATTGAAACTGAATAGCAAAAAAAGCTACTTACATAGAGAAAGATTTTCAAGAATAAATCCAAGAATCTTCCCAAGCTTCAATGGCAGCCTACAAAATTCATTTCGGCAACGGGAAGTCGATTATTCAACAATTAACCTAAGAACAGAAACATGTATTGGGTAATAACGTCATCTTCGAGTTTTCAATCACCAATTGCGTGAGCAGAACACAGAGCTTTAACGCCAGCAACGAGTTACTAACAGTGGGTGGGAGATACAAATTGGAGACCTTTCCTTTCACCACCAATTTTCAAGGATCTTCAGAATTGCGTGAATTGATGAAGGCTTACTTGATTAAGAACCTTGATTTGCAGATAGATTCTAACGGGCATTTTAAGACTGCCAACGGAGTCGACATCTTCTTTAAGATTGCGGGCCATCTTGGAGATCAGGAATTTAATGTCGTCTCCATCAACACTTTCATCTATTTTCTTGATACGTACTTAAAGGTTTTAATATTGCACTTTTAGTCTACCGATGAATATGAAAACATAGTCGTGATTTCAATAAATTGCCTAATAGTCAGATACTATAACTATGCAGACATGGCAGATCCTTCTTTGTAGTAGGAATTGAATCCCATCAGCTTGAATGCTACAAATTTGTTCTATGCCTACAATTCACAGCTTGCCCTTGACTCTCATTACAGGTTAAGGAGGCAGTACGAGTTTGCTTCTATGATGGAGGGGAACTGGTGCATAGAGTCCCCAAGAGTTTGTCCATTTTGCGGCAGAGTAATTTGCCGATACACATTTCTCGCTAAGCTGCAATGCGCGCATTGTCTTCATCCTGTGTGCATGATTCGGTGGTTCAACATGAACCGCTGCTGCCCGGCCTATCGTGTACATTATTCTTGATCTTTATTTTAGTCTTTTCAAGCTAATTGTGCAGATACTCTGTTTCAGTACTGCAGTTTGAATTGTTTAAATTTCTTGGATGGATATATCTTCGTGGGGTTTCTCTTTTTTTCGTATAAAATGATTGGTTTCCTTGAATGATTGATTGAATTTTACAAGACAAGATTCACATATGATGAGTATTTTCCTGTGCAGATACTCTGTTTAAGTACTGCAATTTGAATTGTTTAAATTTCTTGGATGGATATATCTTCGTGGGTTTTCTTTTTTTTTTTTTTCTCTCCGTATAAAATGATTGGTTTCCTTGAATGATTGGTTGAATTACAAGATTCACATATGATGAGTATTTTCCTTTTTTTTTTTAGACGAAGATGATATGAACCATTAGTTGTTGTAGTTCATTGTGAAGTTTTTCTGATAATGGGAAAATAGATTTATGATGTGATAGTTTTGACTTTATAATTTTCTGGATCATGTTTGTTTTCTGTGAAGATTTGCTTACATGAGAATAAGTCATTTGTATTAGGAAATGAAGTTGTTTGTTGAGAAAATAGATAGTCTCTCTGTCTAGTATCAGCTTCGATTCTAGTCAGCATAATGAACTTAAAACATATATTTGAACATGTATGTGAGTAAATGTATACAACCACAAATACACACACACACACACACACACACACACACACATATATCTCTACTGTATGTGTACTGTTTATATTCATGCATGCATATTGTACCGAATAACTAATACTGTCAAAGCAATATTTGTTGTTGTGTATGGTTTATTCTCTTACAGGAAATGGCATCATTAATTTGTCTCTGCATATATGCAGCTAAATATATCCATTGTGGTGTTTTTATTCATGTATGTGTATTGTATGCCAGAAATGGAATATATGGACTACTGTATTTGTGGTGTTTATTCTAATGATGTCGAACCAATTTTTAGTGGTGATAAAGTTAATTTTTTACAAAGCGCTACGATTTGTTAACCTGTTATGCCAAGCACCTCAAAACTCTAACCGTTTTAACTTTTGTAATCGATTAAAAAACCCTAATGCTGACTAATGGAATATATGGACTACTGTATTTGTGGTGTTTATTCTAATGATGTCGAACCAATTTTTAGTGGTGATAAAGTTAATTTTTTACAAAACGCTACGATTTGTTAACCTGTTATGCCATCACCTCAAAACTCTAATCGTTTTAACTTTTGTAATCAATTAAAAAAACCCTAATGCTGACTCTTGATTTTGCTTTAATGGAGAAGGAGAGGCGCCGCCTTGCCTGAAAGAGCACCAATCCACAACAATAGTCCAGACACGGCTCGAGGAGAGTCACTCTCTGATACTTGGTGATGACCTGACGATGGAGGAAGTGATGGCAGTTGAAGATATGGTAACAGATGGAGTGTCGCTCTGTCTGGAAGTGAGCCATTCAAGGAAGAATGAGACGACTTGGCTTGGTGCTACCAGCTATGCGTTTGCGGCAAACAAACACATTCTGGATAGAGCGCTGGTGGAAAGAGAATCCGGAATAGGTGCAGTGGTGCCCTACTTTGGTGCAACCCGAGCAGTGACCCAACTCGCGACTCGGCTAAACTCGACATAGGTTATGGTTGCTGAAGACAAACAGATGTTGGAAGTAATGATGGCTGGTGGCGATTCGAAAGCTAAGGTAAGTGTGCCTTGTTCTGGTGCGGCTCCATTTGAGATTCTGTTCCGGGCCTGAAAAAGCACCATCTAAAGATAAACACATGGCTGATGTTGTGATAAGGGAGAGGATCTATGGAAGAAACGGGGAGATTATGATCCTTAGTCATATGGCTAGTGAGCAACCGCAAACCCAACACCTAGTGAAATCTCTTTTCCCGTAGGGGGCACCAACGGTGAAAACTTCTTTTAAAAGATAAAATTATCAATAGTCCTCAAGCTGCAAATAATTAGGATGAAATTGAGATCAGGGACGGGGATGTTAAGTTTGACATGGAGAAATGGAATATGAGAAATAATTTTTCTAATCAGGTACACAATCTCTAGTGCAGACTATGAAACTTATAGTAATAATTTGGTTGCTTGAAAAACCGATTGGGTACAAAGCACTCTGGGCTAAACTCCACAACCTGTGGAAGCCTAGGAATTGGCTACACCTTATTGACCTTGATAATGATTACTATATGGTCAAACTCCAGTCAACAGAGGACTGTCTACACGTTCTTATGGATGACCCTTGGGTTATATACAACCATTACCTCATGATGCAGCCTTGGTCCCCTAGCTTTTCCACTGCAAACCTAGATGTTACGAATGTTGTGGCCTGGGTCCATTTTCTCGGTCGTCCTATCCACTACTACCATAAGAGCATGCTTAGAACTATCTCCAAGGTGATTGGAAAGGTGTTTCGCATTGATTACAATACAGAATCCACTGAACAAGGAAAGTTTGCCCGATTGGCAGTTGGTATTGACCTGACCAAATCGCTCATTTTTAAGTTCATGCTTGATGGGCGCCTTCAAAGGGTGAAGTATGAGGGTTTGCCAACCATATGCTTGACTGTAGAGCATATAGGCACCTTAAAGATCAGTGTAAGAATAACATTGAGCCTGTGACTGATTCAACCGGAAGCGAAAGCACAGCTCTCGATGAACAAAAAAAATGTAGCAATACCAGAGGAGATTTATAGTCCTTGGATGCAGGTCTAACGCAGGGAAGGAAAACAGAAAGAAAGGACCCCAGTTTGCTTATCAAAGGCACAAAGACTACAAGAGAAAACAATAAGAATATGTCAAGGTTTAGTATGCTCGCTGACATGGAGGGAGCTTTAGAAAGACCAAATTGGCTGGTGGTGAAAAATCTTAAATAGGTGGGGGCATCAAATAGAAAGCATCCCCTGAGGAATAAAGGAAAGGCACCGGTAGTGGGAGGTAATGGTCTAGGTATGATCGATGTCTTACTGAAATCATGAACTCTACCATGTCGGTCAATACAACGTCCACCATTAGACATATGATGCCCATGAATAGTAGGGCTGGAGAAACTAAAGGGACAAATGGACGCATCAGCCCATGTGGCGTAGGGAGAACCCTTAATGAGAAGCTTGTAATAAGTCAGATTATTACTAAACTAGAACCTTCCAGGAATACTATAATAATAATTGAGGATAAGGCAGACCAAGACCACGAGCACAATCGGGTCCCTCGCCCTCGCCCTATGTCACCAATGCTCTCTTTGAGGGATCGCTCCAGCAAAGCAAACAAACCACCGGATATACTTGGTATTAGCAAAGGCATAAAAGTCAACAAGACTTTTAAAAGACAAATCAAGGCCAAAAAAGTGGACGAAGCACTTACAACCACTGCATCTGCTATGATCAGCCCCTTTATGTCGAAACTCTTAAGAGTTTGCCAATAAGGACGTAAGTCTCATGTCATGCGCAGTTGATGCCCTTCAGAATGAACAAGCATAGTTTTCCTCTTGAGCTTTAGCTTTTTTCCATCTTTTTAATTATTTTATGAATTGCTCATTTTTTGTGTGAAATTGTCAGGGTGTAGCAAAAAGGGGCTTACAACGTGTCTTTAAGTCCTTTTTTAATATCAACAACCCTGCGTTTTGTTGGAGCATAGGACGGCGGGTGAGAAAGCAGATAAAGTAATTAAGACCCTGGGTTTCGATTATTCTCACAGAGTTGAGGCAGTCGACTTTTCGGGTGGCATTTGAATGATGTAAAAATAGTCTATCTAGGTCAATGTTAAATATAATCACCACTAGTTTATCCATTTCAGGATTAGTAGGAATGATGGATAGGAGGACTTCTCTATCTCTATCGTCTATGAAACTCTGAATTCCCAGAAGCGCAAAGACCTTTGGGTCGGAGCTCACTGCAATTGGCCAACACAATGATTACCCATGGCTCCTAGCTGGGGATTTTAATGCCATATTAGAGGTGACTGACAGAAAAGGAGGAATGACTAAATGATCTAAAAGTTGCACCCTCTTTAATCACTTCATTAATGTCAATTCCTTGCAGTAGCTTGATTATATTGGTCTGGACTTTACATGGCGATGTGGGACCTTATTTTAAAGCCTTGATAGATCTTTTTACAACCAGAGATGGTGCAACCAGTTTCTGGAGGCTATTGTTCATCATCTTCCTAAAATGCAATCGGATCATAAGCATCTCTTAATCATCCCTACACCTGTCATACCCCCAATAAGGACCCCAAACATTTTCGATTTTTAGCTGAGTGGTTGTCTCACCCTGATTTTCCTAACTTGGTTAGGAGAAATTGACACAACCATCTCCCCATTTAGGATAACATTAATAGTTTCAACGAGTCTGTGCAGGATTTGAACAAGAATATGTTTGGCGATATCACTAAAAGAAAAGACTTCTTTTGGCAAGACTAAATGGGATCCAACGGGCACTGGAAATACACCATTCTGGTAGGCTTCAAGAATTAGAGAGATCTTTGGCTAAGGAATTATAGGAGGTGTTACTACAAGAAGAAATTCTCTGAAAGCAGAAATCTCATTGTAATTGGATTTCCTTCGGGGACAGAAACACTAAATACTTTCATGCTCAAACCATCTCTAAAAAATAGAAGAATAGAATTAGTATGCTAAAAGATGAGAATGGAAATTGGAGCACCGATGAAGAACAACTTCGAAGGATGGCTGCCACATTTTTTTAGCACCTATACACGATAGACGAGAGACCTATACCTCAGTACCCTATTAGGGGCTTATTTCTAAAGTTAACGACTGCTATGGTTGTTTAGTTAGACTATAGGGTGACGGACCAAGAAATTTGTGATACTTTGTTTAGCATACACGCGTTGAAGGCCCCTGGTGTAGATGGTTTCTATGCAGCCTTCTTCCAAAACCAATGGGAGATTGTGGGTGATTCAGTCTGTGTGATGATCATGGATATTTTTTAAGGCGAATAGCTACCTGCCTTGATTAACAAGACTCCTATTACTCTCATTCCTAAAGTTGTAAGACCATAAACTATTAAAGAATTTTGTCCGATCAGTTTATTGATAGTTCTATATAAAATTGTTACTAAACTCATCGCGAATAAACTCAAGAGCCTTATGCTTTTCTTGATTGGCCCTACTTAAACTACCTTCATTGTTGGGCATAGTATCACTAATAACATTATTATTTCTCAAAAAGTGGTCTACTCAATGCGAAATTTATGGGGGAAAGATAAATAGATGGCCATTAAGGTGGTAAAAAAAGTATATGATCGCATCCAACGGGAGTATATAGAGGATACCCTTATTGATGTTGGTTTCCCTACTAACTTTATTAGAGTAATTGTGCATTGTATCTTCTCTTGTTTCATGTAATTGATGTGAAATGGTTGTCTCACCCATGAATTCCGAGCTACTAAAGGCATTCAACAAGGAGACCACTTTCACCCTACATATTTGTGTTATGCATGGAAAGACTATCTCATTGCATCAATAGTTTAGTAAGAAATGGTACATGGAAGCCGATTTGTTTTGATAAGAAGGGCTCTGCCTTTTCACACATCTTTTTTGTGAATAACCTAGTGATCCTTGGGAAAGCTGATGATGACCAGGATCGGGTATAAAAATGGCTTTAGATGATTTTTTTGCTAGTTCGGGTCACAAAATGAGTGTGAATAAAACACTTATCTTCTTTTCTCACAACATTAACATAGGTGAGGCTAGTCGTGTTAGCAAGAATTTTGGATTCCCATACTCTAATAACCTTGGTAAATATTTGGGCATTCCATTGATATATGATAGAGTCAACAAAGATACTTATCACTACATCCTTGAGAAAATTAACCAGAAGTTATCTGGCTGGAATGTTAACCTCTTCTCTTTTGCAAGATATTTAACTTTGGCCAAGTTCGTTCTTATGACTATCCCTACCTACGCTATGCAGACCATGACCTTACCCAAGACCTTATGTGATCATATTGAAGCAGTGGTCAGGAAGTTTGTTAGGGGCCAGGTTAATGGTAACAAGAAGGTCAACCTTGTTAGTTGGGATGACATGTGCATACTTTGTAATGCTAGGGGAAGTGGTCTTCGATCCATCCATAAGTAAAACCAAGCTTTCTTGATGAAACTGGGCTTTGCAATTGTGGCTAAACCCAACCTCGTTTGGGTCTAGACTCTCACCCATAAGTACAATGACCTGGCTTGTCGGGGAGCTATAAACCTACTGAGGCGACCTCCCATCTTTGGCGCAACCTTAACCATCTTTGGACGGACCTTTGTGTGGGCATCAAATGATCTATCAGTTCTGGAAAAAATGTTAAGTTCTAAGAAGACTGTTGGTTAGGGGATCTGAGGCCGTTTAAGCTTCTAGCCTTTGTGCCTATTGGGGAACATGACCTCTATAAAAATGTCAGGTATTATGTGGCACTGTCTGGCCAATGGGATTGGGAGGTCCTACACCAGGTGTTGCCGATGGGTACGTTGCTCCAGATGGTAGCAATGTCGATTTCTAAAGATGATAACATTCTGGATTCGTGCTATTGAGGTATGATGAGCTCTGGGTGCTCCTCGATTAGCTCGACTTACACCCTTATGGAAAGCAAATAGGAACTGGAGAGATATTTGGCGTTGGCCAGGTGCCCAGTAGGTTCGCACTTTTCTTTGGTTGGATGCTAAGGGAAAGTTGTTGACGAATTGGGAGCGATACCGACATCACATAACCCCTACTATGGAATGCAGTAGGTGTGGCGAACATGTTAAAGATGCGGATCACGTCCTCTATGAGTGTAGCATTGATAAGCTGTTGCGGTTGAAAATCATTCTCGTCGAAGCCCAATCAACCTTTTTCAGTGTTGCAGTGCAGGATTGGTTAATATTGAATCTAAATAATAGTTGGCCCTGGTGCAAGACATTCTAGGATTGGAGAGTGACTTTTGGTCTTACTTACTAAATTTTGTGGAATCATATAAATAAATTTATTTTTTAAGAGAGTGACAACAGTATCAAGGAGCTTGCTAATGAAATTTTTCTCATGACTGATTATATTTTTATGGCTACTAATATGAATCTCTTTTTTTTTCCAGGTATGATGCACAAATCTGAAGAGCTTATTACTTGGCAAAAACCACCCAGAGGATGGCTGAAGGTGAACATTGATGGTTTTTATTTTGCTACAACTAATCTCTCATGCTGTGATGGATTTATCAGAGACGATGATGGTATTTGTCTAAGAAGCTTTAGTAGGAAAATTGGTAGTTATTCTGTATTATAGGTCAAACTTTGGGGAGCCTATGATGACCTTCAACTCGCTTGGAATGTCAGATTTCGCAACATCATCCTTGAAAGGGATAGCTCTCTAGTTATGGAATTACTCACTAAGGAGGATTACGATACTAATGTGCTTACTGTTCTTGTACATGCGGTCAAGCATTTGTTGTTGCAGGATTAGCATGTCTGAATTCAATATATCTATCGTGAAGGGAACAAATGTGTTGACTGGTTGGCAAATGCTATTTTCTTTCTTTAGATGTGTTTTCCTCCACATCCTCAAGTGTCGGATGATCTCCAACAACTCCTCAGTGATGATATCATGAGCGTCTCTTGGCACAAGATGTGCATGACGACTTCTTAACTTTCTTATATTTTGACTATTTTTATAATAAAAATTAATTAATTTTTTTACAAGAAATGGAATAATTTATTACGTATGTCTGAATTTAATGTTGATGTATTCACTTGTATACATTAAAAATACCTATTTTTTACCATGTGAATTTTTAGGAAAATTAAAATAAAAATAAAAAAAATTTCAAAATTGAGTGTGGATTAGGTCTTGACCCTGTGACCGGACAAAACCTTTGTCTGTGGCCAAGAAAGAAAGTCTGCCTTTTGCATTGCCATTCTAGCGTTGCTGGCCCACGAAATCCCGGGATTAGGAAGTAAACATTTGACTGTCTTTGATTGCTCAACTAATTACGGTCAGAAGCTTATAACTCTTTTTTTAATGAGCATATAACATATGTATATATATATATATATATATAAAAATTATAAACAAGGCTGCAATCATCTTTTGCTTAATTGCGATCAAACTTATTTAGACTCAAGTAATGTCTTTGTTTGTGTGTGGGATTTAATTGAAATTGATTTTGGAAAAAAGTTGTGAAAATTTGGATTCTGTTGGTGTTTTTCAAAAGAAAATCGAAAATCGAGGGTCAAAACGTAATTTAGAAAAATAGCGCCACGTCAGCAGCCGCGTCAGCAGCCACGGCCAACCAGGACACACCCCGTGGCAAGGACGCTGACGCGCGAAGCCACACGGGACGGAGACACGTGGGCGATCCGTGTGCGCACGATTGGACGGTCCAGATTCGTTCCCGCGCGCACAGACGGCGCAGATCAAGCGGCACTTATTGGTACTAGAGCTCAAGACATATTCAGCCGTTCTGGCAAAGGCGCAGATCGTGGAGAGGAGTTTCAACACTCTTTCTCAGTCAGCAGGGAGTCACAGACCCTTAGCTCCACCCCGCAGACCAACACCTACTGCGTCGGTCCAACAAAATAAGAGGCTCAAACCGGTGATCCAGGCTCCCCCTCAGGCTCCAAGGGCAGCATGTGGCAAGATCTGTCAGCACTGCGATAGGGACCACAAGGACCGACCATGCTATCGCCTCAACAACACCTGTCGCATATGTGGTAGTGCCCAGCACTATGCGAGAGAGTGCCCAAGGAACTAGAACTAAGGAAGACCTCCTTTTCAGGGCAGAGTTTACAACCTCACACAACAGGATGCCGATGCCGACCCAGACGTGGTACAGGGTATGTACACTATCTGTGACAATATTGCTCATGTTTTATTTGACACTAGTGCATCGCATTCATTTGTTTCACATGTTTTTGCATCCAAACTTAATGTATCACCTGATAAACTTGATTCAATGTTGTTTGTGTCTACTATTGGGGGTGAAACACTATTAGAGGAAGTTGTCTACAGGGCTTGTGCCGTGGAGATACCAAATAGGAAACTGAGTGTAGACCTAATAGGGTTAGACACGGGGGATTTTGATGTAATTTTAGGGATGGATTGGCTAGCGGTGTATCACGCCACCATAGATTGCTTTAACAAGAATGTTGTATTTAATCCTCCTAATGAGGAGTCATTTACAAATTAATAAAATCATTTGATACTTATTCCTTAATGGAAAGTTTTCTTAATTTTTAAGTACTTTAACCTTGCTATTTTCTCTAACTAGGCAAACCCAAGAAGAAAATTTGTATCCAAGAGATTCTGGTAGTCCGAGAATTTTCAGATGTGTTTCCGAACGAACTGCCTAGACTACCAGTGGACAGGGAAATTGAGTTCACTATAGACCTACAACCAGGCACCCAGCCCATTTCGGTTGCTCCTTACCGCATGAGTCGCGTTGAGATGGAAGAGCTGAGGAAACAGATCACTGAATTGCAAGACAGTGATTTTATTAGACACAGTGTGTCTCCTTGGAGTACCGAAGTCACGTTCTTCAAAAAGGGAGATGGAATGTTGAGACTGTGTATTGATTACAAAGGATTAAACAAGGTCACAATCAAGAACAAATATCCCCTTCCTAGAATTGACGACCTCTTCGATCAACTGCAGGGTGCGCAGGTCTTCTCCAAAATAGACCTGCGATCAGGTTACCATCAGGTGAAAATAAGAACAGAAGACATCCCCAAAACGGCCTTTCGAACCAGGTACGGACATTATGAGTTTCTGGTCATGCCATTTGGGCTAACCAACGCTCCAGCCATCTTTATGGATCTAATGAACAGGGTCTTCAGAGAATTCTTGGATCAATTTGTTATTTTGTTCATCGATGATATCTTGGTATACTCAAAAAGCAGAGAAGAGCATGCTCACCATCTAGCCCAAGTTTTGTAGGTCCTCAAAAAAAAAGAAGTTATATGCAAAGTTGAGTAAGTGTGGATTCTGGTTTGAGCAGACCGCCTTCCTAGGACACATCATATCGAAGGAAGGAGTATCAGTGAATCCCGAAAAGGTTGAAGCGATACTTGGCTGGGAAAAGTTGACATCATTTAAGGAGATCTGTAGCTTCCTGGGAATGGCAGGTTATTACCGCAGGTTCGTCGAAGGATTATCTAGTCTAGCAGCTCCCCTAACCCGACTCACAAAGAAGAATGTCAAGTTTGAGTGGAATAAGGACTGTGAGAGAAGTTTTTCAGAATTAAAGGAACAGCTGACCACTGCACCCGTACTAGCTTTACCGAGTGGATCGGGGGGATATACAGTTTACAGTGATACCTCCTATCTAGGCCTGGGTTGTGTCCTGATGCAGCATGGGAAGGTCATAGTCTATGGGTCCAGACAGTTAAAGAATCATGAAAAGAATTACCCCATCCATGACTTGGAACTTGTCGCAATCATACACGCCTTGAAAACCTAGCGCCATTATTTATACGGAGAGACCTTTTAGATCTATATCGATCATAAGAGTTTGAAACACATATTCACCCAAAAGGATCTCAACATGCGTCAGAGAAGATGGATGGAACTCCTTAAAGACTGATTGTGATATCTTGTATCATCCGAGTAAGTCAACGTGGTGGCAGATGCCCTCAGTAGGAAAAGTGCAGGTATCTTAGCCCATTTAATGGTTTCAGAACGCATGCAAATTGGGGCCATACAACAGGTTCGGCTTCAAGACCTGAAGAGAGTCGTATGTTTGGGTCGTCTGACCGTCCAGCCCGAGTTAATACAGAGAATAAGGGAAGCCTAGTAAGTCGACCCCGTCCTGGTAGCCCGCAAGAATGATGCAGAACAGGGAGTGAGCTCAGAATTCTGAATCTCTACCGATGGGTTACTCCGGTTCTAGGACAGCGTGTGTGTCCCATACGACAGTGAGTTGAAGAGAGACATCATGACATAATCCCACAGCTCGAAGTTTGTCATACATCCCGGAAGCACCAAAATATACCAAAGCATGCAACCCCGATTTTGGTGGAATGGGATGAAGAGGGACATAGCTGACTTTGTATCTAAATGCTTGATATGTCAGCAGGTCAAGGCAGAGCATCAACGCCCAGGCGTGTTACTTCAGCCCTTACTGATCCCAGAGTGGAAGTGGGAACATATCGCCATGGACTTCGTAACTGGATTACCCAATGCACGTTTAGGACATGACGCCATCTGGGTAATTATTGACCGGCTTACCAAGTCTTCCCACTTCCTAGCCATCAGGATGACTGATCCCTTAGACAAGTTGGCAAGAATGTATATCCGAGAAATAGTCAGATTGCATGGAGTTCCAGTGACAATGGTATCCGACAGGGACCCCAGGTTCACTTCTCAGTTTTAGAGTAACCTTCAGCATGCCATGGGAACAAAGCTGTCTCTCAGTACTGCTTTCCATCCTCAAACTAATGGACAGTCAGAAAGGACAATCCGTACACTTGAGGGTATGCTTTGAGTTTGCGTCCTTGACTCTGGGGGCTATTGGGATGACCATCTACCCCTGATAGAATTTACCTACAACAACAGCTACCAAGTGAACATTGGCATGGCTCCGTATGAGGCGTTATATGGGCGCTCATGCAGATCACCGATTTGTTGGGAAGAAGTGGGCGACAAAAAATTGTTCGGCCCAAAGTTGGTGGAAGAGACCACGTCTAAAATAGTTAAAATCAGAAAGAACATTCAGACAGCTCAAAACAGGCAGAAGAGTTATGCGGACACCTGGAGGAGAGATTTAGCTTTTGAACAAGGCGATCGGGTGTTCCTTAAGGTCACTCTTTTCAAAGAAATTAGTAATGCCTCGGGTTTTCTCTTTTCCGACCAACAAAAGCCGCCTAACTCCTTTTTTGTCTTTTTTTGTGGAAAAATGGCCAAAACTGGCCAAAAACGGCCAAGCTGAGAAGAGACACCACTGTGGGTAGCGGAGCCGGCACCGGGGCACGGTGGCAGCGCCATGCCAAAACCCTAAACCCACCAGAAAAATTAAAAATGCTTATTTTTGTCTTTTTGGTGTATTTTAGAATATGTGACGCGTGTTTTTTATTTTTGCAGAAAAAATTCAACAAACTCAAAACAGCCAGGAAGTGTAGTGAAAGAGGCAGTGTTTCAAACACCGATCCGAGGTAAGAATCTCTAACTTTTTTCTCCCGTTATGTTAAATTAAAGTTTAATAATTAATAACGGTGTATTTTTATAAAAATTAGAAATCCCTAATTAATTGAATACAGATCACCAGTAGGCCGGTAATTAGTCAGTGTGTAGTTGCCCTAACTGTATTGTCTGTTTATTCTTATACTGCCTAAATTGCTATTATTTATTGATTTTAATTGCTTTCTTGCTTATTGATTGCTTAGCTGTTATT